ACAGTTTCACCACAAAAGCCTCACCTTAACACTCAGCAAACCAAAGTAGCTTCAATTTTCTTCAAGTCTGAGAAAATAGACTTTATCAACAGGCAGTGTGATGTTTAAAGCTTAAGGAATTAAACAGATATAAGCTGTTATAGTTCTTCACTTTCCATTTACTTAGAACTGGAAAGTATTTCAGATACAGAGCTTTGTCTTTTAAAATCTATTTTTTCTGCTTTTTCTGATGTCAGCTGAGTGTCATAGTTTCAATACAGCTACCAACGAAGTACCTGCAGCCACTTGCTCACTCCCTGCTCCTTGGTGGGATGGGGATGAGAATCAGAAAAAAAGGTAAACCTGTGGTTGGAGATAAGAATAGATTAATAATTAAAATAAATGAAATATTACAGTAATTATAACAAAACAACAACAATAAGAAGAAGAAGAAATAAAGAGAAAGATAGGAATCAAACAAAGAATAACCCAAGTGACTCTTCAGCTGCTGACTGATGCCTGGCTCTTCCCAGCCAACTCCCACCACTTTCTTTACTGGGCATGATGTGCTGTGGTATGGAATACCTCTTTGGCTAGTTTGGGTCAGGTGTCCTGTTTCTGCTTCCTCCCAGCTTCCTCTGCCCCTCCTCACTGGCAGAGGATGAGAATGAAAAGTCCTTGATTGGGGTGAGTATTACGTAGCAACAACTAAAATCATCGGTGTGTTATCAGCGTTGTTCTCAGACTAAATCCAAAGCACAGCACTGCATCAGCGACTAGGAAGAAAATTTACTCTATTCCAGCTGAAACCTGGACACTGGGAATTGAAAAATTAGCTCCAAAGTCCTGTGGGAAATGCTGCTTTTGTAGCACACTCAGACTACAGAGAAACAATGAAAAGGAAATCTGATGATAAATTTTAATACTCACAAAGCACTAAAACAATCCCATAATTATTTGCTCCTCATGGCCAGAAGTTTCTGAGAAATTAAATATTCTGTGAACAAATTAATTTGGAAGCTTTTGTCATAAGCTGGGAGATTTTTACCAAATTACTGCAAAATATGAAATTTAAAATCATTAAACAATACCCCAACTCTACAACAGCAGGCACTGACACTTCAGGTGTGACACAAGCACTTGTAGTGCGCTTATGGATGACTGACACTATTAAGTATGCAGAAAACATTGTCAAAGACATACAAAAACAGTTCCTATACATACCAAGATTGGTTTGAATGGCAGTGACTGTAAGGATGTAGCACATTAAAAGTGACAAAGGCACACAACAAACTAATAATACTTTGCTAAAAATTGCAAAATGCTGCTGTTTCCTAAAAAATCATTTGGTACACAAGCCACCAGGGATTGAAAATGATGCACTACACTGAAAGCTATAAATAGTTTCAACAGCAACACATATTTTTCCATGTAAGTCTTTCTGAACGGAAAGATATTTCATATGTGGTGATGGAAAAAAAAAAGTTGTCTGTGTTTTAATGACACTTCCCCAAACAAATGATAGATATATATGTTAAAGGAGATGAAGGGAGGGGAAGAACTCTCAAGTAATGGAAGAAAACATGATATTTTGGTGTAATTCTTTGTGGTGATCCCATAAATGATGTGTTCCCTGGTATTAGATATATAAAGAGTCAGGTGGAAAGGGCAAAAGCTAGAAAAATCCATGAAGTAAAAATAAAGCCAAGATCATTTAACTCCAGTCACTCTAAATTAATCTTTCCTCAAGTAACTGGAAGTGTAGTAATCAGTATTTTGTTATTTTTCATCTTCTGATGTTACAGTCTTTGAATCTTGTTCTGCATAGCAGTAAAGGAGGTACTGTATTTTCCTGTTAAGTAAAAATGGCTGCTTTGAGTTATATGAATCCATGGGGAAAAAAAAGAAAAAATGTTCAAATAATAAAATGAGACAATCAGAGCTCTTATCAAGAATTCAGTCTTACTCTTCAGCCTTTTTTATGTATTGTATCATAGAATATAATTGTATCACAGAATTCCTGAGGTGAGTAGCTTGAGAGAGGATGCCTTCAACACCCAGAGTAGGGGGAGATCAGGGTCCAGGAGCCTCAACTCAGAGTGGTGAGAGACACCGAGGGAGCCTCAAGTCCTATACAGGACCTGTCAGGGAGACGGCAGCTCAGCTAACGCGAGCAGCTGAATCACAGGGGACAGAGACAGGAGGAGCGGCACCAGCCCTGACTGGTTAAAAACCTGCCCCAGGGAGTGCGACAGAGCTGGTCAAGGCAGTTTGCAAGATCTGAGCCCTTGGTAACCAGAAAACATTCCCTAGAACACAGGCTGGATTGACAAATGAAGCCTCCATCCCTCACAGTCACCCTTGCCACCAGCCTTCTTTCTCAGGCTCAGATGCTTTATTGGACAGAGCTCCAGCCCAGCATCCGCACCCACGGAACTGAAGCTATGCTGTAGTTGCATATCTGCAGGTGGAGGAGAAGCCTTCCTCCTGAGGCCAGAACTCACAAGCTTCTGCCTATGCCACCACGGAAATCTGCATTTCCCAGCCTGATAAGCACAGATTTCCATTGCATTCTTCAGTACAGCTAGGGGCTCAGGCTCTTGTATCTTCAGGGTCCTGGAGAAGACCTAATCTCTTCCTGGACTACTGCATCAACAACAGCCAGCTGCTTTTTAAGGCCAGCAGCTATATAGACTTCTCCACAGCACCCGCTGAAAGGGTGCATGATCTTCCCAAACTAGGAGTCAGCTGGAGAAGGAAAAAAGCTCAAAGCACCTTCTGGTCAGGCATAGCTGGCAGAGCTCATTACAAGTTGCTAGAGCCTGCTGGAACACAGGCCTCCTGTACTTATCCCTTCCCAGCTGCAGCCAGCGCCCTGAAAACCCTTGAAGAATTCCCAGTTCTCCAGCAGCCCTAGAAGTTCCCAGGGGATCTCAAAGGAAGGCGAAGAAACTACTCACCTGTTGGCTGCCTCTTTTAGCTGTACTCACCGCATGAGTTTAAAGGAGTCCTGATGACTGCCACAACCAACAGCAGCGTCTCTATTTTTTATGGATAATCAATACACCAGCCACTAAGTGGACCTTTGAAGGTCCATCCAACCCAAACTATTCCATCATTCCTTTTCTTCTACTCTGCCACCTTTATATAGCCACTGGGCATAAATACATGTTCATGAGGCTACGTATGGATTACATCATTTTCCAGAAAGTTCCCTGCGTGCGTACACAATTGTGGTGGTGGTGGTCTCTGAGGGTCGTTTACTTCTTCCAACAATCTTCATCACTACTGGCAGCCTTTGAAGCACGCGCAGTAGATGCTCATACCAGTTTAATTGGGTCGTTAACACCAGAGACATAATAATCCTCCTATCCTCCTACTTATCAGTTAGTTTAACTGTAGCCCATCCTGGACACCTGCGGTTCCCAGATACTCCTTATCCCTGTGTCCTCTTCTTCTAGAGTCTTTTTCTTCAAAATCTGTCAACTATAATGATTTATCTTGTGAGAATTCTCAGTATGTTCTCTAGCTGTACTCTGTTGCTCTTTTTTCTCCATGTATCATGCTCCTCAGGAATTTTCCATTGCTACTGTTACAAAGCCATCAAACTCGACATTACTTAAAACTAATTCTAAAGGTTTCTATATTCCATTTTGAGATTTTGTGCCCCTCGTCTCATGTCGCAGGTGAATTATTCGGGGAAGTCATCCTTGGTGGGTTAATTAAAGGGGCTTTCTTCATGATGAAGCGATGATCAAATGGGAAGGAATCAACGACTGAAGGAAAATCAGAGCGCAAGGAAACGGTGATGAAGTAATAGTGGAATGGTAATGAGAGCCACAGGCATCATTTAGGTTGGCAAAGGCCGTAAAGGTCGTCAAGTCCAACCGTTAAGCTAACACTGCCAAGTTCACCAGGAAACCATGTCCCTAAGCTGGCACTTGACTCTGCACTTACAGGTGGAGAGGCCGCTCCGGTGACCTGGGTGCCAAGGGCTCAGGCCCCTGCCTGTGCGCTTCACAGCCAGCCCTGTGATGCAGTGTCCGTGTCACAGTGGGTGCTGTGTGCCCCTGGAACCCACGCAGCCAGCGGTGCTGATGTCACAGAGGCCACTGGGGGCAGGGGCGGGGGCAGGCCTATAAAAGAGGGAACGCTGGGTGCAGTGCATCAGTGCGACCTGGTGAGGTGCGGGGAGTAGAGGGCAGGGACAGGGCTCCTGGGGGCCTGCCGAGGGAGGAGGGGGCTCCACAGCGCAGGGCTCTGGGCCTGTGCTGAGAGCTCACCCGCGTCTCTCTTCTCCTTCAGAGGAGCACTTGGAGAAGCCCCAGCGCTGCTGAGACAGGGACTCTCCAAACACCCACCTTTGATGTCTGACATGTCCACAAGGAGGCGTAGGACACCCAACTCGATGGCACAGGGTGAGAACAAAGTCCCCCTCCTACAGCCTGGCAGAGGGACTCCTGAGGCTGTCGGCATGGACCGGGAGCGTTGGCAGGGGGAGGCAGGAGCTCCAAACCCACGCAGCGGGAGGGCCGCCGCTCTGCTTGGCAAGCGGGACCAAGGCTGGGCAGTGCGCACCCTCCGGGACATCCATGCCTGCAGTGCCCTTTCCTCTCCAAGGCTTCCAGCCCTGCTCAGCAGCCAGCTAGGCAGGGACAGAGCAGCCCTTGGGGGCAATCCCTCAGGGACGCATCCCTGGCCCCACAGACATGCTCATTCTCAGTGGCATTTGCTCTCTTCCCTCCAGCATGCATGCTGTGTCACCGCGTAGAGGCAGACCTGAATATCTGTGGCCCAAAACTGGTTTCTCAATGGTTCTGTGCCCATAACTTTTGCCTGGTGAGTTCCTCTGGGGCTGGTTTCATCTTTGCAATGCACCTGCCCTGCCACATGCCCCTCATCTGCCCCTTGTCTCTGCTCTTCTGCAGCTTTTTGCCACTGATCTTTTTCCACATGGGACACGACAGGAAGAACGGATAATATTTCGTTCTACGGAAGTTCTAAGTACAATCCATCAGGCAGCCCAGATGGTGAGGATCTGAGATGATCAGGGTGATTTGTGGAAGGGGAGGATTGCAGGACCTTAACGCAGATGCCAAGAACAGAATCCCAGCCTTTCCACCCAGCTGTGCGACAGAAGGCTTCCTCCCAGCAGCTCCACAGAGGCTCCAGCACAGGAGCCTGCTCTGCCTGGTCGATCTGTGGCCTGTGATCCAGCTGGGGCCACATCCTGCACCCTGCCCCGAGGTGTGGGTCTGGCTGTGGAGACCCTGAGGCTGCCACTGATGGAGGCTGCTCTGCTCTTTCCAGGTCTGCTTTGTGTGTGGCGAGAAGGGGGCCACCATCACCTGCCAGGAGATGGGCTGCGACCGCAGGTTCCATCTCCCCTGTGCCGTGGAGGGCGGATGTGTCACTCGTTACATCCTGCCGTACAGGTACCATCTCTACCCTTCTCCCCATCACCGGGGAAGGACCCAGCGCTTCTCATCTCACCCATCCCTTCCTTCTTCCCCTAGTTCCTTCTGCTGGGAGCACCGTCCACAGCAGCAAGAGCTGGCGGCTCCAGAGAACACCAAGTGCCTCATCTGCATGGACGCTGTTGAAGGCAGAACGACCTATGGGACCATGGTGTGCCCAGCCTGCAAACAAGCCTGGTTCCACAGGGCCTGCATCCAGGTAGCAGCTGTTCCCTTGGTCCGGACACGGCAGGCTCTCAGCAGCAGCAGAGCCTCACTCACGCTCTTTCTGTTTCTCCTGCAGGGACAGGCTCTGCGTTCTGGCGCTTTTTGCTTGCAGTGCCCTGTGTGTCGAAATAAGAGAATGTTTCTAACAGAAATGCTCCACGTGGGGATCCGAATCCCAGAGAGGTTGGTGTCCTCCTGGCCAGCACTGCGTCACACCTGGACCTGCCCCCGCAGTTATGGCCCTCCGCTGACCCCCAACTCCAGGCTTTAGCTCCATGCAGGAGTTGGAAACAGGGTGTGGGGGGAAGAGCGGGGAGGCCCTGCATATGCCTTACGCTGTGGCAGCAGGGGCTCATCAAGTTTCCTTTCTCCATCAGACAAGCGACATGGGAAGATGGCAATGCATACAGAGAACTGCACCAGAGGCACGGGAGCTGCGATGCCAGCGAGTGCCTTTGTCCAGGAGGCAGAGGGGTGGCAGAGCCAGACGGGTAAGTTGCCAAAGATGCACCCCGGGGCTCGGCATGGGATCTCTGTCTCAGCAAAGGCTCGAAGCAGAAAGGCTGAGAACAAGAGCTCTGCTGGACAGTCCCGTGCTGTGGGCACTTGATCCTTAGAGACATGAACCAATTTCTTTCCCCAGGCCTTGGCAGCTCTTTCTGTGCAGCTCCTGCGCTGCTGTGGGCACACACAGACACTGCTCCCAGCTGGAGAACAGCCATGAGGCCGGATGGGAGTGTGACAGCTGCGCTGGCCTGGGCACCCGTAAGTGTCAGAGCACCCGGGTGCTCCTGGACTGGGGCCAGGGGCCAGGCAAGGCCGGGCAGTGGGTGCCTGGTGTGGGCTTGGCAGAGCCTGTCTGCTCCAGGAGGGCTGGGGCACCGCTCTGGCCTACGCTGCCCCAGGCCTGGGAACCAAGCCCTTATTGTTCCTGCTTTCCCTTGTAGCCTCCAGTGCCAGGTCAGAGCTTGCTGGTCCCAGCACTGACAGCCCAGCAGTATCGGGGCAGTCTCCTGGATCTCTGCAACGGGAGCTCAGCAGCTCCAGCAGCAGCAGCAGCAGCAGCCAGGCAGCATCGGGGCAGACCAGCAGGTGCAGCAGCACCAGGCAGCAGGCAGCGGTGGCATCCCGTGGCTCTCCATCACAGCAAAGAAGGAGGAGCAACAGCCCCGGTGGGCCCGTGCGGGTGCGAGGCCGCTCCCGCGTGCGGCGTCGGGACCAAGCTCCCTATGCACGGCCCAGAAGACGCTCCCAGGGCAGCCGCACACCACCAGCACGAGCTGGGAGGAGCCCCTGCAGACCGGCTGCGTCCAGGCTGTCCCAGGGCTCACCAGCACGTGCGAGCCGCAGCCGCAGCACCACCAGACAGCGGCCATCAGCATCATCCCATGGCTCCAGAGAACGACAAAGAGGCAGCGCCTCAAGATCCACCGGGCCTCTGCGGGTGCGAGACCGCTCCCGTGTGCAGCGTCGGGACCAAGCTCCCTATGCACGGCCCAGAAGATGCTCCCAGGGCAGCCGCACACCACCAGCACGAGCTGGGAGGAGCCCCCGCAGACCGGCTGCGTCCAGGCTGTCCCAGGGCTCACCAGCACGTGCGAGCCGCAGGCGCAGCACCACCAGACAGCGGCCATCAGCATCATCCCGTGGCTCCAGAGAACGACAAAGAGGCAGCGCCTCAAGATCCACCAGGCCTGTTCACGTGCGAGACCGCTCCCGCTCGCAACGCCGGGCCCAAACTCCCAACACGCGGCGCAGAAGGCGCCGTTAGAGCACCCACACGCCAGCACCACGTGCAAAGAGGAGCACACGCAGACAGGCTTTGTCGGGGCTATCCCAGCGCTCCCCAGCACCTGCTAGCAGCTGCTGCAGCAGTGGCAGGAGTCACCAGGGAGCAGCAGCTCCAGCATTGACAGCCAGGAGGCTTTACAGCCATGCCACAGTTCCCTGGCACCAGACACTGGCACTGCAACAATCAGGCCATGCCACGGCCCCCCAGCGTGCTCCCAGTTGAACTGTCACACCCAAACTGCCTACACGCGGCCCAGAAGACAGCAGAAGAGGAGCCAAGCGCCAGCACCACGTGGTGAAAGGAGCACCCACAGCCAGGCAGTGAGGGACTGTCCCAGCGCTCGCCAGTACCTGAGACAAGGAGCCCCAGAACCAGCAGGCATCGGCCATCAGCAGCATCCTCTGACTCCGCAGCACTGGAAAGCGGCAGCAGCTCCATCCCCGCTAGCCCCACGTGGGTGTGAGACAACTCCCACTTGCAACATCGGGCCCAAACTCCCAGAGCACAGTCTGGACACCTCAGTGGGACCAACCGTGTTTCCCCTCCGAGCGACCGCTGGGATCACCCTCTATCGGCACAATAAAGGTGGCCCTTCATCTCTGGACTGGGAGATTCCAGGCTCCTTGGTTGGCTTCCTCCTCCTCTGCCTTTCTCAAGGGGCAGCATCAGTGGTGGACTTGGCAGTCCTAGGGTAAAGGTTGGACTTGATGATCTTAAAGCTCTAGTTGATGTTAGTGATTCTAGTTGATTCTGTGATTCTATGTACTGTTGACAGTCATGGGTGCTCAGATCTCACCACATCTGGGTGCTGCCACACCTCACTTTCATCATCATAACACTAGTTCCCACAGAGAATCAAACTCAGCACTTCAGAGAGGCACATTTCTCAAATTAGCTATCAAAATTGACTTTTATCATATTATTGATGCCATCTTAGCCATTCAAGGAAGATATCTCTTATTCTGCAATTTTTTTTGTCTCAAAAATTCTATTAGCAATGAAAACACATAGTTTTATTAATTCATTGGGTAGCAAGGCAGGGAACAGTCACATCATTCCTCTCCCCAGCAGTTAGCAATGGAGAAAAATCCGAGCTCTGGTGGTTTCCTGGCTCCATTGGGAAATGGTACAGATACCTCTTGCAGTACAGCTTACTTAGGTAATCCTATATATAAGTTTAGCTTACTTTTTTCTCCATAAATTCTGCCCAGTCCCGCTGAAGAGGCTGGATAGAGTAAAAGAGGAGAAATAGCCAAAATTTAGATCCAAAAGAGAGGTAATATCCAATTATAAGTAAGTCTGATTGCTCCACCTATAGTAATTCTTCTAATATGTGTCACTGCAACTGCAAATTTATGAGACTTCCGCCATATTCTGTAGGAAATACCTTCACAGTTCAAAGGATCTTACTGACAAGGCTCCTTAAGTGTCAGTCTAAATGCTCCCATCCTCATCTTAACCCATTACTCTTAGTTATAGCCTATATTCTAGCCTCAAAATAATTCTACTCCCACATGGTGTGGAAATCCTTCTAACCTTTCAAGTCCCCACTAGCCTCTGACACAGGAAGACATTAGAAAAATAATGGAAAAATTCACTGGCAAAGGCTGTGACCACACCGCCCAAGTCTTGGAAGGTAGATGCAGGGACTGTGAGAATGAAGACCTTGGGCCCACTGTAGGAGAGGATCTGATTCGAGACCATCAAGTGGGCTTGGGCTAAGGTTCCTGTCTCACTGGACTTTATGGCAATGACTTGTAATACGGGCGGGCTCCAGCAGCAGGGTGGGACGGACGTGGCCGTGGACTGGTACCTGGCCGTCCGGCTGCTCCTCACCCTCCTGGCCCTCGCCCTCGCCCTCGCCTCCGTCTGCGTAAGGCTCTGGGAAGCCGAGGGGGCGCTGCCCCGGGAGCCGGCGGCTGCTGAAGCTGCCCGGGAGAGCGGCCCCGGGGACCAAGCGGTGGCGGGAGGGGGGCAGGAGGCCGCGAAGGGACGGCTGCCGGTGGAGGAAGTTGGGGCGGTCGAGGAGCGGAAGGAGGCGGCAGAGGAGCCGAGCCCTGCGGCCGAGCCAGGCCCCACGACGGCCGAGAGCATTCCCCGGAAGCACACCCCCCCCCCCCCACCCGAGCCCCAGGAGGACGCAGGAGACGCCGCAGCATTTCCCAGCAAGGCAGAGGGGGAAGATCTGGACTCAGGAAAAGAGAAGCTGGTGGTGGGAGAGCCGGAAAGCACAGCAGCTACACCAGCCCCAGTGACAAGTACAGCAGCATCGCTTGAGAGTTCTGAAGGTTTTGAATGGCCTTTGGGTATCCTTGGGACCTGCCTGCTGATTGTGATGAGGATCACCATGTTGGCACACATACAGACTGTGTTTTACCCACCGCCATTTTGTCTATCTCAAAAGTTAAGCAGAGTCGGGTTTGGGTCTTCTCTGGGGTTAGACAACGATATGGGAGGACCAGGAGATTTTCCCCAAGGCTGAACAGTCATGAGTGGCAGGGCGTGTGGGACAGTATGGGCAAGTACCTAGTTCACTGGGCCATTCCAGTGCTTTGGAAGCATGGGAGATGGAAGGCAGCTGTATGGAGGCCCCAGTGACAAGCTGCAGAAACTGCTGAAGGGGATGGTGAATTATTTTAAGCCTGGTGGGCCCATGGCACTTGATAAACAGTAACACTTGATAAACACTAACACAGCAAATACCGAGTCTAAGTAATGTACTATATTCTGAAACTGTGAGATGAAGAGGAACAGCTCTGAGAGCCAATAAATCAGCACTGTGACAAGTGACTATTAATCCGGTCAGATCTGTCGTTACCTCATCCCCTCATGCCCCACGTTGGGCGCCAAAAAGAACTGTCATGGTTTAAAACCAGCCAGACAGCTTTTCACTCACTCCCCCCCCCCCCCCCCTTCTTGCCCTCCCCCTACTCCTGGAGGGATGGAGAGGAGAATGAGAAAGAATGCAACTCCCACGGGTTGAGATAAGAACAGTTTAGTAACTAAGGTATAACACAAATCATTACTGCTGCCACCAGTAATAGTAATGACAAAAGAAATAGCAAGGGAAGAGAATACAACACCTCATCACCAGGCGACTGATAACTCGCCCCCCCCCCAGCTCGAACAAGCACCGACCGATACCTCCTCCAACCCTGCAGCCCCCCTAGTCCTTCCAGGTTACATCCGTTACATCCTGGGCATGACGTGCTGTGGTATGGAATACCTCTTTGGTCAGTTTGGGTCAGGTGTCCTGTCTCTGCTTCCTCCCGGCTTCCCTCCTCCCTGGCAGAGCATGAGACTCACCAAGTCCTTGGCCAAACCAAAACATCATTTTTATCAGCTCTGCTCCCAGGCCGAAAGTCAAAACACAGCACTGCACCAGCTACCAAGAGGGAGAAAAATGACTGCTACTGTTAAACCCGGGACACGAGGGAATAGGAGAAGCACAGGGACAGAACGAACATATGCTCAGAGTA